AGAAAGAGGAGGAAGAGAAGGAGGAGGAGGAGGAGGAGGAGGAGGAGGAGGAGGAGGAGGAGAGACATATTGGTTGCCTCCCACCGGTGCCCTGACCAAGCCGGGGACGAGGTATGGGTGCCCTTGACCGGGAATTGAATCTGAGATCCTTCAGTCCACGGGCCCACGCTCTAGCCACAGTACCAAACTGGCCAGGGCACTCCTCCTAGTTTGAACTCTTGCTTTGCACTCTGGCTTCTTATTGCAAAACCAAGCAGGACAGGTCAGAGGTGAGAGACCCAAATTGCATGTGGACTGTCAGTAAATACAGATTCACTGTCCCTGGAAACCCTTCAAAGGTCTTTCCCAGAATATGGAAACATGCTGCTGACACACAAATTGCTCTTTTAAATACTTAATTGCAAGCTTCACAATATGCTCACTTATTCTTGGGCAGGTTCTAACAAAGATAGAATTGAAATAACTGACAAAAGAAATGGAGCAAGGGAAATGGAAGGAAGGAAGGAAGGAAGGAAGGAAGGAGGAAGGAAGGAAGGAAGGAAGGGAGGAAGAAAAGGAGGGAGGCAGGAGGAAAGGAAGGAAGGAAGCAGTGTGAACATGCTCTGGTCCCTGGACCTCAGCAGAAAGCCTTAGGCTGATGATAAAAGCCCCTCTAGGGGATATAGCCTGATGAATTTTCTGTCTTCAGTTAATTCTTTTTTTTTTTTCACTACATCCCTTCCTCCATTAAAACATGGCCCAGTGATAATGAAGCTTATTGTCTCATGATAATAAGGACACAAGGAGATATTTTTCTACACTAAGCCATAGCATAGAGGGGAAAAAATGGCCAACATATAAGCATCTGTCCTTGCCTAAAAGAAATAAAAGTTTGACAGACAAGCAAAGAAGAGGTTTAGAGGGCAAATGACTAGAAGGTTGAGTCTGAGAAAGGAATCTCTCCTATCTCACCCTCTTGCAGGCAGTGGGAGGTAGGAGGGAGGTCGTGGCAAAAAATGAGGTAGGTTTTATATTTATTTTACAGTTGAGTTAACTAAGGCTCAGAGAGGTTTGGAAATCTGCTCAGGGTCACATAGCCTTGAGTGTGTGATTCCAGACAGGATTGTTTAATCCCAGCGCCTGTGTTCCTGACCTGCATTGAGGCCTCTTTAGATACACAAGGGATCTTACCCTTGTGGCCAGTTAAGAATTGAGGCTCAGCTTCAAAGTCAGTAGAGCTAACAAGTGATTTCCAATGTGGACAGGTAAACCAAGCAATAAGAAAGAACTAATCGCCTGGCCAACATGGCTCAGTGGTTGAGTGAGGAGGTCATGGTTCGATTCCTGGTCAGGGCACATGCCCAGGTTGCAGGCTTGATCCCCAGTAGGGGGCATGCAGGAGGCAGCCAATCAATGATTCTCTCTCATCATTGATGTTTCTCTCTCTCTCTCTCCATTCCACTCTGAAATCAATATATGACTAATCATGAGAAGCAATTTGAATCAAACAAATAAAAAAGAATGCTAGCAAGTGTCACTCTGGAAAAATTTAATAACTGTGTTAGAGCAAACATAGTGTCAACTAAGGGGCCCATAAGATGTGTTCTAATGTTTTTAAGGGAAAGGGGGGGAAATGCCAGGGAATTTTATCAAATTGATAATTTTTTGAGCATCTACTAAGTATCAGCCCTACACTACAAAATACAGTGCAGCAGGTAGGTATAAAGAAACTTGGACCAAAATCTAAAAATAAAAACAAACACAAAAAAACAGTGGCAAAATTTGAGCCAAGCAGCACTCTATGGGGGTCTAAAGAAGGAGAAGTTATATCTCCTTGATTGTGGTGGGACTGGGGAGAGCCAGGCGAAAATTGGATGGAGTAAAGGAGAAAAACGTGTCAGGCAGAGCACGTGGGGTCCCTTGCTGCCAGGGACAGAAATTTGACATCAAGGATTTGCTGGGCAGCCAGGCCAAGTCATCTGCTAATTTTAATTGGGAAGAAATATTTGCTTGGTTTGGTGCCACAGCCCAATCCTAGAGGCAACACATGTGTCTTTGGCACCTCTTCTCCTCTGACAACAGGAAATAACTTTATATGTAAAAACCTTGTTGGGAGTTAGAATCAGAGCGATACATGAAAGAACTGTTTCTTTAGGGTCACTAATCTGCCAGGAATTGGCTTCCTGGATGTAAAAACAGCAAGGCTAGAATTCTTGTTCACTGTGTTTATTAAGCAGGTCAAAAGTTGAAATATCAGGTTGGTCTTTGTGGGTTCAGTCAACTGCCAGGTGATTTTCCCTGTTGCCTGCTTTGTCCCGTAGAACCCTACCTTACTATTGTGAGGATCTGCACATAGCTGTCTCCCATGCTACCTTCAAAATAATGCCTTTACTGGCCTGGCTCGGGTGGCCGGTGGTTGAGTGTTAACCTATGAACCAGGAGGTCACAGTTACCAAGAGGTCATGGTTCAAATCCTGGTCAGGGCAGGTGCCCGGATTTTGGGCTTGATCCCCGGTAGAGGACGTGCAGGAGGCAGCTGATCAATGATTCTCTCTCATCATTGATGTTTCCCTCTCCCTTTCCCTTCCTCTCTGAAATTAATAATAATAATTATATATATATATTTGAATAAATGCCTTTACTCAAGCTATTGTCCTGGTTTACAAAGTTCCTCCAGCACCCCATCCATCATCCTGAACTCATGTTGCAACACTACGCTGAAATGTCACCTGCTCCACCTGACACCCTCTGTCCCCGGCAGAGATAGGAGCATCCTGTTTTTGTTGTTATGACATCTTGTATCTACTTTGAAGCAAATCTCCAAGTGCTACAATTGATGTTAAAAATCCAAATCCCCTCTTAGTTTATGAGTTAATCAAAGACAAAAACCCTCTGCTTTTCATTGTAGTGTCTCCATTTATCAGAGTGCTTTTGCACAAAACAAATGTTCACTAAGTCGGTAGCATGGGGTGATGGGAAGAGGAGATGCAAACTTTGGAATCCAAAGGACTGGGCTAAGGCCCTAAGGCTCTGCCACTGGTTAGCTGTGTGAGGGAAGGAACATTAGATAACCTTTTTGATTCTAGACCCTTATATTTGACAGGAGTAATCCAATCCATCTTGCTGTGATAATTAAATATAAAGGCCTGGCTCTGTAGGAACTCAAGAAAATCATGTTACTACTATTCAACTGATTAAATAATGAATTTCTTATTGTGTGCATCTGATGACCAAGATGATGCCTGAATCCTTTCTTTTTTAATTGTTCAGCCGCGAGGAGGAGTGGAAGAAGGCCCTAAAGTGCTGAGAAAGGCTGGCCTGCTTGAGAAGCTTAAAGAACAAGGTAATTTTTAGGTTGAAAGATGATCAGCCTGAATTCTTTCCTGTTCTGAAGGATGCACAGGCTCCTGCTAACACGGGAAGTGTCTGGAATGACATCTGTACCACAGAATTCAGCGCTGGCTAGAACCTTAGGTGTGCACCCTACACAGAGAAGCAGTGTGTGGGAAGAATACACAATCAATGTTGCTTATTTATTCAGATATTTTGTCTTTCCAGCCAGACTACAGTGTAAGATAATGTGTGTGAGTAAGAGTTGGGTTGGGTGGGTGGGAAGGAAGTTGGGGGGATTGAAAATGGAAGGCAAGGGGCAGCAGCAGAAAGTGCACTACTAGCAAGAGGAGCCCTATTTGTGAGAGGAAATAAAACAGTAATAGCACCGAGTCTCGGGTTGATGTCTCCATTTTCCTTGGTGCGGGCTTGAGGCAGCAGAGAAGCTGTGGGCCCCAGGTAGGTCAAGTTTGGACTGGAAAGCGAGCTCCTCGAATGGGTGAGGTGGGGAACCAGGCTCCTAGGGCATGGCTCCCTAAGGGAAAGGGCATTGGGAAGTCCTATGCAGGAAGAAGGGGCCCCCAGCCTTCCCAGCTCTCTGAGGAGGAGGAGGAGGAAAGCGGGGTAGTTGCTCAGTCTCAAGGCTTTTCCAAACCCTGTGCCACCTGGAACCGGTGAACTGAGCTTCCTCAGATCCTGTCCTTCTGTCGTAGCTTCTGAAAACTGGGCCCTGAGAAAAGAGAGGAAATGGGATGGTCCTGGGGCTTCTGAGTTAGTATCAGGTGACTGAGTTGTTTGTTCTGGGGATGTGATACCTAGGGAGCTTTCAGCAGCCCGACCACGGCCCAGAGGGCTATGCCAATTCCATCTTTCCACACTGTAGAATAATTACATTAGAACTTTCTATAGACGGCTAGCTACATCCACAAATGCCTACCACAAACATCAGAATGAGCTATTAAGTCAAAGTTTTATTTCCTTCCAGTTTCTGCCTTTCTCTCCAGGCACGTCCTTGAACCAGCTGGAGCAGTTCGCTTCCCTTGGTTGTTGCAAGAACTGCTACTTACTTTTCTTTAAAAGGCGGCCTAAACTCTCTGAGAATGTGCCCATGGAAATTCACTGTAATATCAGAAATAATAAGGGAGTATTAAGTTACACCACTTTTATTAATAAACGTGGAGAGTATAAACAAAACAATGCCCCAGTAATAATACTGTGTGTATGATTACTCATACTATACACACATACATATTTGCATATGTGAGCATGTAAATGAAAAATACTTTGTATTTTAAAAGTACAGCTAAAAAAAAACTAAAGCAAAAACAACAAAACAAAACAAAACAAAAAACACAGCTAAAGTAAGTGTCATCTTTATATATAAAACCCTGATAAAGTGTTGGTGAGGATATGGAGCAACTGGAACCCTCAGATATTTCTGATGAGAATGCATAATGATACATAGAGCCACTTTGGAAAGATGGGCAGTTTCTTAAACACACATTTACCTTTTGACCCAGCAAGTCTACTCCAAGGTATTTACCCAAAAGAGATGAAAACATGGATACATAGAGCCACTTTGGAAAGATGGGCAGTTTTTTAAATAAACATACATTTACCTTTTGACCCAGCAAATCTACTCCAAGGTATTTACCCAAAAGAGATGAAAACATGTTCTCACAAGGCCTTGTGTGTACTTGAAGGTATATAGCAGCATTGTTTATAATATTCAGAATATGGGAACAACAGAATGCCTGTCAACTGGTAAATAACTAAAAGGGGCACATCCATCCCATGGGATGCACTGACTGTCTCACTGCACAGGGGCGTGAGGGAACTTAGGGGTATGGAGGTATTCTAAATCTTGATTGTGCTGGTGGTTAAAAGCCTGTGGATATTTCTAAAACTCACTGACTGGCAAACTTAAAATGAATACATTTTAGTAAATAAGAATTATGCATCATAAATCTAAGAAAGGAAAGAGAGAGACCCCAGTAGAGAACAGGAAGCCTGGGGAAATGAACTGGATTAGTCCGTCAGTTAACAAGCATAATTTGGTCACATTTTATATTACGTTAAATCTCTTGAATGCGTCACTGAATCACAGATACATACGGACATGAATGAATTCAATACACATGACAGCTTAGTTCAGAACATGAAATTGAGCCCGGATCACTGTTTTACATGAAGCTCTATACCTTGAGGCATAATGCATGGCCTTTTAGGAAGTGCACCGAGGTCCTTAGGAACTTTGGGTTACCTTATTGGAAAAGTATAATAATAAAGTCTTTATTTCCTGGCTTGCTTAAGTGTTAGGACTGATGGTAATCACATACTCTTATTAAATTCTGACAATAGCCCTGTGAGGCAGGTACAATGGGCAGAAGAGGGAGCTGGACTGCTTCAGCAGGTGACAGATTGGATTGAAACCGAGGATTGTTAACAAAATAATGGTGTATTTTCTTCTTTTTAAATATGATTTATTTACTATAAATACAATACAGGCTTATTGTAGAAAAGTAGAAAGCACATGAGCACAGAGACAAAGACAATGACATCACCCATTAAATCCAAACCAGGTCAACCTGTTGTGCTTATAGCCTAACTGGTGGGGTCAAGGACTTACTGAGAACCCAGCATACAGCAGGCACTGGTGGGAGCCCAGGTGAGATGATGTCAGGCAAAAGTAGATGTGGTTTCTACCTTCACAATTTTTAGTCTGTTCAGAGTCTTTCTGCACTTATACTTTAGAAAATACACCTATTTTGTACATTTAAAATCATCCTGCAGAGACTGTTTTGTGATCTTTATTTAGTAACCTGCAACTTTTAATTTTAATTATAGAGTGTGACGTGAAAGATTATGGGGACCTGCCCTTTGCTGATGTCCCTAATGACAGTCCATTTCAAATTGTGAAGAATCCAAGGTCTGTGGGAAAAGCGAATGAGCAGCTGGCTGGCGTGGTGGCAGAAGCCAAGAAAAATGGAAGGGTCAGCGTGGTGCTGGGTGGAGACCACAGGTACTATTTAATGAAGGGCTGTGCGAGATTGGCACAAATGGCATGAAGAAGGTTTAACCAAAAACATGCGAAGAGAGAACATATGGAAGGGAAAGCACTGATCAATAGTTTATATCAAGTTTTCTGCTTAAAAAATATTACTGGTTACTACTTTATCTTGGAAACACACTTAGCTCTATTTGAAGTCTTGACTTACCTTTATTACAGCAGAAAATATATTAAATGTGAATGAATCTTAGTAAAATATTCAGCACAGGGTTACATTTCTAAATAAATAAGCGCTGAGGAAATTTACAGTCAACTTATTGTGCTTGGTTGCTGATAATAGGAACAACCCATTTAGGTCAACATTTAAAAGTGTTTTCCATTATTATAACTCTTATAATGGAGAGAAGCTTTATAAAGTTTTTTGAAATACACACACATGTAAAAGTAAAAAACAAAAACCAACAACAACCAGTGATAATTGTAGTCTCCTAACAACCATTTCAACCAGAATTTCCCTCAGACATGATTTTAACAATTACGTGTGTGTGTGTGTGTGTGTGTGTGTGTGTGTGTGTGTGTGTAATATCCTGCTGTTCTTAATCCACAGTTGAAATGTCCTTATCTTTACTTCATGATATATAAGCATATTTTTACTGTTGCATAATTTTTCATTAAAGTATTATATATATTGTCCAATATTCAAGTAATTTTCAAAATTACAAATAATGTGGCAAAGAAAATTTCTGGGCATTAGCCTCTTTATTCTTTAAAGACTAGTTTATTGATTTTTTTAGAGAGAGAGGCACAATTGCTTCCACTTTGAGAATTGAGAAGTTCACGATTCTCTGAATGGTACTCAAAAACATTCACAGGTGGGAAAATAGGGCATTGTATGGCCAATCCTAATCTTTTAACTTTTGTGTAAGGTATTACATAGCTGTTCCATTCAGGCACATTTTCTGGAGCTTGAAGTGCTTGATGTGCACTTGGAGGGTTCTGGACCTGGCTAAGAGTGGGTCCTTAAGGGTGTGGCAGGAGAGGAGGAAGTTCAAGCAGAGGATCTGATTGTTTGAATAGAGTGAGCACCTGGGATATGCTCACTCAGGTGGATGTAAGGGCTTCTGAATCATGCTCTCCAATTGTATAACAATTGGGTTTTAAGAAAAATGGAAGGGCTCTTTCATGACTCACTGGGGAGAATGAAGTATATACCTGGAGAAATGAGAGTGCAAAAAATAAGCCTGATTCAACCCTGAAAGTGGAATAGTCTCATGCTAAGGAATCCTTGTGTGGTAGTGTTTTCACACATCATTTAGTTTTTGGTGAAACTATAATTTACAATTTTATTAGAAGGTGGTTTTGAAAAGTATCACAAATTACTTAGTGATACTTCTGTGTAACTATAACTTCTTAGTAACTATTAAGTGTAAGGTCTACTTTCTCTGTTACAATTGTTTAATTGGCATCTCTGATTTAAAACTATGAGAAATATCAGCTGCTTTGATTTAAAGGAAAATCAAGCATGAGCATTAAGTGAGTTAATAATATGATGTATGTAAGGCTATTGCAACTCTGATGCTCACACAAACTTTTTCCTCTAAAGTTTGGCGATCGGGAGCATCTCTGGCCATGCCAGGATCCACCCGGATCTCTGTGTCATTTGGGTGGACGCTCACACTGATATCAACACTCCACAGACAACCTCAAGTGGGAACTTGCATGGACAGCCTGTGTCTTTCCTCCTGAAGGAATTAAAGGGAAAGGTAAGAGGCTGGTTGGCATTTTATTACAAAACTAGAGGCCCAGTGCACGGAATTCATGCGGGGGCGGGGGGGGGGTCCCTCAGCCCTACCTGCACCCTCTCCAATCCGAGATGTCCCACTGACGGCTTGGGCCCACTCCCCGTGGTTCTCTGCTCTCTGCAGGGCCTGCCTGCTCCACACCACGGCGATGGGCAAGCAGGCCCTGCTGGGTGCTGCCTGTAGGCTGTGCTTGCCTGCTCGTGGGTCACCGTGGGGACAGGGCCAAGCAGGCCCTGCTGGGTGCTGTCTGCAGGCCTCGCTTGCCTGCTGGGCTCACGTTGCCAGGGTGACGCTGCCAGCGTCCTGCCCTGGCCGCTATGGGTGCTGCCATCTTTGTTGCGGAGTGACTGTTAATTTGCATATTACTCTTTTATTAGATAGGATAATAATCTTTAGCAAAAGTTCAGGAGGTGGAGGGAAGTAAGAACCCCTCTGCCATCTTATTCTTGGTATAATCTCAAACTCTTTTCTTGGCAGCAGATAAGCAAAAGGGTTGGAGGATAAAGGTGGCGAGGCTCGGTACCTTTCCCTTCCTTGATAGTTTGCAAACTGACCTTGTATCTTCCCTTTTGATTCTTAAACTACCCTTTTTAGGTGGAGCAGAGAATAATCCTAAGCAAGTCAGCAGAGGTTTAGACATTAACCAACTCACCTAAGATCACACACCAGGCGAGAGCCAGAACTGGTCCCCTAGTGCCAACCTCTTTCTATTACATGCCACACAGCCTTTTGTTGTTACCAAGTGTCCCCTCCACATCATAGGGCCTTTTCAAAAACAGAGTTCTTAAAATGCGGCTCACAATGGTTTATTTAACATCTTTACTGTGAGGAGCACATATCTAAACCATAAGCAGAACTGCCTCCTTGCTCCCTAGAAACTTACTTTCTAAAAGATGTAAGAGGAAATCCCATATTAAGATTTAACATTGTGGCTCATAATTTTTATTGATATGCCTGTAGTATGTCAATAAAACAATTTTTATTCATGTACCTGTAGCATAGTGGTCTTTATGATGATAGCTGGGAATGTTAGGTTTAATGCCCAGAAGTAACGTTTTCTGAAGTGACAACCAACTGATAGGTGTATACATTTGCAATATGTGCAGCTAGCATATGGAAACAGCCAAGCTCAACTCCAGAACATTCAAAGAGCAACCAAAGGGTTGGGCAAAAATTTTCCTTCAGCCACTCAAAGCCATCTTCTGGATTAAGTCCTCATTGAGAAAGAGAAGCAAAGAAGGGATGAAAGTAATGGAAGTACACTGACTTCCTTACAGAAGAGTTCTGGGAAAGCAGGGCCCAATGGAAATGGTGCACAAATGGTTCAGGTTAGGTCTGGGCTACAGGGTGAGGCTGGGTAGGGCCAGAGCAATCAAGGGGACCACCAGGGGAGGCAGGCATTCTCTTCTTCATTTTGTATCATCTTTTAATGATTCCTAAAAAGTGTATGTTCTAAATATAAGATATATCCAACAAGTGTACTTAACTTTCCATGTAAGATTTGCTCAAGAGAAGTATACATAACCAAATGGAAAATTGCAATTTTAGATCCCTGATGTACCAGGATTCTCCTGGGTGACGCCCTGCATAACTGCCAAAGATATTGTGTATATTGGCCTGAGAGATGTGGACCCTGGGGAACAGTAAGTTTATTCCTTGATTCAATTTACCTTCATGTTTGTCCTTTTTGCATGCTAGGTGCACTGACCAAACCTATGGTAAAAAATTATTTTAAGTACCAAATATATATATATATATTTGTACATACACATATATGTGTATATTCAAATAATTCTTATATTGACTTGCTGATAAAAATATATTGATATATACATAGAGTTCACAGAACTTAAATATTTTATGTATCTTAGCACATTAATCTTTTCTTAAAAGGAGACGAGAGGGCATAGATCAGCCTCCATGTTAATTGTAAGTTATCTTTCTATCTCCTCTTTCATAGCTACCTTTTGAAAACTCTGGGTATTAAATACTTTTCAATGACTGAAGTGGACAAGCTGGGAATTGGCAAGGTGATGGAAGAAACACTCAGCTATCTACTAGGAAGGTATGACGCTTGTGTGTGCAACATAAATATTGTTAAACGAACTAGCTACTGGTACTAATCAATGTAAGTTATTAATAAAGCCTTTATGTAAAATCATGGAACTTCACTAGGTTGTTCCTTTTTACAGAGCAAAGTAAGAACTATATTTATCTACTAAATAATAAGCCACCAACTTTAACTTGAATTACTTTCCCTCTTCTTAAAAGAAAGAAAAGGCCAATTCATCTGAGCTATGATGTTGATGGATTGGACCCATCTGTCACACCAGCTACTGGCACACCAGTCATCGGGGGTCTGTCTTACAGAGAAGGTCTCTACATTACAGAAGAAATTTTCAAAACAGGTACGTATAAATCTAAGTGAATAAAGAATCAAGTGTACACATGGCCAATATATACTTACTAGAGGCCTGGTGCACAAAATTCCTGCACTGGGGAGTGGGGGGTCCCTCAGCCCAGCCTGTGCCCTCTCACAGTCCAGGAGACCCGCGATCGATTGCCCCAAAAAGGTAGGCCCCGCCCACCTGGCAGGGGCTCCTCAATGGATCGCCCCAGCAGAGGGAGGCCCAGGCTACCTGCTGCAGCGCCCCCGGCCAGGTGGCCTGGCCCTCCCTGGGGCAACCAATCATGGAGCATCGCCCCAAAGAGGTAGGCCCTGCCCACCTGGCCCGGGCTCTGCGATGATCGCCCCCGCAGATGGAGTCCCTGCCCACCTGCTGCAGCCCGTCAGTCTACAGGGCGATCCCCCAGATTGATCGCCCCGCTGGCCAGTGGCCTGGGCCTCCCTCTGCAGGGTGACCATGGGGAAATGGCTGGCCCCCCGACCAATTGCATCGCACCCACCTTGGCTGACCTGGCACCAGTGGGTGTCATAGCGTGGTTGTCTGGATAGTCATTCCACTGTTCAGCTGTTCGGTCGATTTGCATATTACGCTTTTATTATTATAGATACTTCCTGGTCTGAAAATCAAGCCCCTGTTGACACTTCCAGAATGCCCATTGCATGATGCAGTAACCGAAGTGGTTTCAGTTGGTTACCCCCCTCATTACACTCCTGAGTAACATTTCAGAGATACTAAATTTAAAATGTCAACTATTTAACAATTACTTTATTTCCACTTGTTGTAGGGCTACTGTCAGGATTAGACATAATGGAAGTGAATCCATCTCTGGGGAAGACACCAGAAGAAGTAACTCGAACAGTCAACACAGCAGTAGCAATAACCTTGTCTTGTTTTGGAGTTGCTCGAGAGGGTAACCATAAGCCTATTGACTACCTTAACCCACCTAAGTAAATGTGGAAACATTATGTGAAAATCTCACAGCTTATAACTTAACAAATCTAATAATTTACTTAAGCTAACGGTTATCCTCTTATAGATTTTGTGTTTCAGGAAAATGTTTTACCTGAGGAAATATTAGTACAATTAGTATAAACTGCATCAATTCCCTCTTGGTGTGAAAGATTTGGAAAATCAAGTTTTTGTAAATTTAAAATGCTTGTATTTCCCATTTTGGCAAAAGACTTATCCTTAGAAATGGAAGTACATATTAATTTCCAAATAGAAATTTGCTGGCATTAAAAATAAACACACTCCCAGAAGACAGTGGCAAGAAATATTCTAAGTGATGGAAAGCAAGAACCTACAACCAAGATTACTCTACCCAGCAAAGCTATCATTCAGAATCGAAGGACAGATAAAGAGCTTCCCAGACAAGAAAAAGCTAAAGGAGTTCATCACCACCAAACCAGTATTATATGAAATGTTAAATTGTCTTCTTGAAGAAGAAGTAGAAGAAGAGACAAAAATATGAACAATAAAATGGCAATAAATAGCCATCTATCAACAATTCAATCTAAAAAAAAAACCCACCAAAATAAACTAACAAGCAGAACCGAAACAGACTCATAGATACAGAGAACATTTTGACAGTTGCCAGATGGTAGGGGAATTGGGGCAATGGGTGAAAAAGGTAAAGGGATTAAGAAGTACAAATCGGTAGTTACAGAATAGACATAGTGATGTAAAGTACAGCATAGGGAATGCAGTCAATAATATGCTAATAACTACGTATGGTGTCAGAAGGGTACAAGATTTATTAAGATGATCACTTAGTAAGTTATATAATGTCTAATCACTTACTAAGTCATATGTCTAATCACTTAGTAAATTATATAATATCTAATCACTTAATAAATTATATAATGTCTAGTCACTTAGTAAATTATATAATGTCTAACTGGGTGTACACCTAAAGCTAAACCTGAAACTAATATAATGTTGTATGTCAACTGCAATTAAAAAAGATTAAATGGCAAAAAACACACACCTACATAGTGGGACTCCTGTTATCAGGAGGTACCACATTTGAAAATGGACCGTATTTCCACGCTGTTCAAAAGATGTGATTTTTAGTCAGGCCAGCGTGGCTTAGTGGTTGAGCATTGACCT